GTGAATGAAATTTGGTATTTATAGGAAAATTTAGGAAAATAACCGTTAATGGTCGTTAGAGGGGAAGAAGAGCAACGGCATTATAGCCGTTTATAGCTGTTGCTGGGCGTGCCAGGCTAGGCCGGCACGCGGGTCGTGCCTGGCTGGCCGCCCACGGGCCAAAAAAGGGCCAGCACGGCAGGCTCGTGCCGTGCCGTGCCTGTTTTCTAGCTGGCTTGCACGCGGCACGGCCCATGGCCTGCCTGGCGACCACAGTGTCGTGCTGCGTCGCCGTGACGGGCCGCCTGTAGGTTACTTGTTACTTGTTGGAGGTTGGGTTCTCTTGCTTCAAAAATTCTTGGGAACATATTAGCCAATTGATCTTTGTTATTAGTCAACATTAGGGACATATCATACATTAATAAAAACGTATCAGTCAACACAAGGAACATATCATTTAACAAATGAAACATATCAACCAACAAATGAAACATATCAGCCAACAAAAGAAATATATCATCCAATAAAAGATACTATCAGCCAACAGAAGGAACATATCAGCCAACAAAAGAATGAAAATCAGCAAACAAAAGCAACAGGTAAGCCAACAAATAAACACATCAGCCAACAAAATGAAACATTTAAGCCAAAAGAATGAACTGAACTAAAGAGAAACGATCAATTCTCTAAGCAAACAAATACAAGTATAATTTTACAGGTCTCTTGTTTTGTCTAATATGAATCCCTTTAAAACAAAGATCTCGGATTGGTATCAATTAATTTTGAGAAGGTATTGGGTGCGGACTGCCGCACAAAGTCGTGCGGAAGGCTTGACTGATATATTTTACTTGTTGGTTGATATATTTCATGTGCTGGCTGATATGTTTCATTTGTTGGCTGATATGATTTTTGTTTTGGCTAATATATTCCTTTTGTTGGCTGATATGTTTTTTAAAATTTTTTTTGATATATTCCTTTTGTTGGCTACTATCAGATATCAGTTGACTGATATATTTCTTTAGTTGACTGATATCTTTATTTTTGGTTTGGATCAGGTTTTGAACACCCCTATTCTTTACACCTAAAAAAAGTTATGTTGACGTACTTTCCCCTTTCTAAAACTTGTAATCACTGTGTCACAAAAAAAAAAAAAAAAAAAAAAACCTTGTAATCACTATATACTATTTTCTCTTTTTTTTTTTTTTAATTTTTTTAAAATGTAACAATTCGCATCTTATACTACTTCGTTTTTAATTTTCATACTAAGCAAAACTTTGACTCACTTGACAAGAGTTCTTTTCTCATATGCTAGATATTTCGGGTACAAATCTCGCCAAATGAGGATCTTTAAGGGTGAGAATCCTTTTACGTTTTCCCTAGAGGTGGGCACCGTGCCATGTCGGGCCACCGCGGGCCTTGCCTGGCCGTACCTGGTGGTGGCTCGTGCCGGGTCGAGCCACCTTTTGGCACACCCCAACCCACGGCACGGCACGGCCCACGTGCCTGGCGTGCCGGGCCGCGGGCCGTCCTGAATTAATTTTTTTTTAATGGATATATATTTTTTTTGAACAACCTTTTAAAATAAGTATATTTAAATAATTTTATTAATTGATGAATAACTTATTTACGAGTGCGATAACACAATAATTAAAAAATTATGAGTGCGATACACAAAATTTGATGAATAACTTATTTAATTTTATTATACGCCGGTACGATAAATCAATAATACAATAATTTATAATGATAAAAATCGTACAATAATTGATGAATAACTTAACTTTACAGCTTATGTTATTATACGGGGTTCAATAATACAAAAATTAGCTATAATAAATAGTATGTAATAATCTAATTATTCTTCTTGTTCTTGTTCTTCTTCTTCTTCTTCTTCTTCTTCTTCTTCTTCTTTGTCTTCTTCTTCTTGTTGTTCAACTTCATTGGCCAATTGAATTGATTGAGAACTAGTAGAACCGTCGTTTTGTGCATAAGTACGATCTTGGTAGCGAGTTTCGGCATCCAACCAATCCTTGAAACAAGCACACATTTCAAGTGTTTCGGGTTTTAGTCTTGTTCTTCTATCATCTAAAACCTTTTCCTGACGCACTAAAAGCTCTTTCGGAGACAACGGAGGAGACTTGAATAGCAAAAATATCACGAGCCATTGCCGCCAAAATTGGATGTTTTGTGCTTTGTGCTTTCCACCAATCAAGGATGTTGAGGCCATATTTCTCTTCGTCATCCATGCCTTTCATGAAGTCGTAATTTAAGTACATTTGCAACTCCGAAACATCGCTTTGTGTTCTCCTAGATGATGATTCAATACTTGAAAACTTAGACATCATGTTAGCAGGTGCAAATAAATCTTTGGCCCTTTTACTTACATTTTTGGATGTTTGAGAAGGAGCAAATTGAGTCACGGTTCCATATTTAGATTCATAAACTCTATATAAGGAAAAAAAATGATTGGACACATTAGTTTTAAAATATTCAACATCATCTTCAAAATTTATGCATTGAAAATAAATATCAATTAATAAAAATGTGTCATCATACTTTTGCCTTGGATCTAATATAGAAGCAAAAATATAAATCATAGGAATAGTAGTGTAATATTTACGCTATTTTTCCTCCATTGATGAAAGATATCCATCATAATCGTGTTGTAATCGGTGTTCATCGAAAAGTTGTGCAAGTAAACATGCATTGCTAAGAAAAGAATGAGCACAAGGATTATAAACAAAAGAAAAACAATGTGTCATACTATATAATAATTGTAAAAACTGCATATATTTTTCACAATTAGACCAATCATCATCTAGTAAAGCAAATTGTGGAAATTTTTTTTTATAAAAAATTGTTAATGGACCCTTGTACTCGATTGCCCTACTCAACATTTCATAGGTGGAGTTCTACCTAGTTGCACAGTCCGTTGGTATTTTAATAGCCTTTATCCTTTGTTGCCTGCAAAAAGCTTTTCATTCCTGAAATCTCATGTTAGAACTGTTAATAGACATAATAGCATTCCTAATTTTGTGATAAAATGGACCAATTGCTTATGTTCCATCCTTCACACACAAGTTAAGAACATAACAAATGCATCTAATATGAAGTGCATCTCCATCTAATATTACATCGGTCAATTGTGGTTTAACTAAATTTGCACAAAATGTCATAGAAGTTGCATTATCAAAAGTCATAGACATGATTTTGGGTCTAAGATTATATGCATTAATAGCTTGCATTAAATGATGAGCAATATTAAGATCGGTGTGGGGGTATTCAAGCATTTTAAAATGGATAATGCGTTTTTGTAATAACCAATCAGTATCCAACCAATGACAAGTCACACACAAATAGTGATATCCGTAACCACTATCCCATGCATTAGCATTCAAAGAAACTCTACAAGAAAAATTACTTAATTCATAATTTAACTTCAATTTGTACTCTGGAAAAGATTTCATGGCAGCCGAACGGACAGTTTTTCTAGAGATTTTTTTGTGTTGGGGTTGTAGTGTTCGGTTAATGTAATTGTTAAAGGATCATTTTCGGCAAAAAGAAAAGGTTGTTCGGCATGTACTAACATCCTCCCAAGTTCATCTCTATCTCTCTCATAATTGTAAGTGAAGCCATGTGGATGGAATTGAGAAATTTTGGGGGTTGAGTTGGATCACTAGATGGACTACCACGTTTTTTTATATGTCTACTAACGTGTCCCGTCCCTCCCTTGGTTTCGGCCGAGTAAATTTTGTTACATGTCTTACACTTGGCTTTGGTTCCATCTCTACTTAATTGAAAATATCCCCAAACATTACTCTTTCGATTGGTATTGACAAGTTCCTCTTCGGTACACCATTCTAATGTGTTTGGAATTTGGGTAGATTGTTCACTTGACCCGGTGGCATTTGTTTGGCTACATTGGGTACTTTGATAAGAAGGTTCATGTTGTGAGCCGTATAAATGAGGTGAGAATTGATTTTGTTGAAATCCCGAACTAGACATAGTCTAAGGAGACATATTGTCAAATTGTTCGAATCCTTCCATGGTTTGGGGATGGAAGAAGGGGGTGGAAGTGTTCGGATTGGGCATGTTAAGGGGGGGAGGCATTGAAGTGTTTGGATTTGGTGATTCCCTACTAGTACTAGTACGTTTTGACTTGGCTTTCCTAGAGGAGGAAGAAGGGTTCGGGTTTGATGTCATGATTAATAATAATAACAATAATAATACAAAAAATAATAATAACAACAATAAATAATAATAATAATCATAATAATAATAATACAAATAATAATAACAATAACAATAATAAAACAACAATAATAATAACAAGAACAATAATAATAGTGACAAGAACAATAATTATAACAATAATAATAAATTAATATATAATAATAATAATAATAATAATAATAATAATAATAATAATAATAATAATAATAATAACAACAACAACAATAACAACAACAAATTAAATAACGTTGAGTTAGATCTTACAACGATGCTTCAATTGCTTTCCGCTAATTAATTTCTCGAACTTATAATTTTTTTTTAATTTTTATAATTGAGAGAATTAGAGAATTAAAGATTATATGAGATTTTTTTTTTTTTGAAAAGTAAATATTATAAGAGAATAGGAATTAGAGAATAAGAGTTTTAGAGGATAAGATATTTGAGAATAGATGAGTTGATGAATTGTGGAAAAAAATGGAGGAAGAAGTGAAGTATTTATAGGAATTAGGAAGCTGAAAGTAGCGTTAATATAGTCGTTTATGGTTGTTGAAAGAAAGTAGCCATTTATGGGCGTTATGCACGGGCCGTGACGTGCCTGGCGGGCCGCGTGCCTTGCCCGCGGGCCGGCCTGCGCTCCAAACGACCGTGCCTGGGACCGTGCCGTGCCGATTTCCAAAAGTTTTGTTCACGGCACGACCCACTGCTTGGCCACCGTGCTATACCGGGCCGTGCCCGTGCCGCCTGCGGACCGGCACGGCCCATGCCCACCTCTAGTTTTCCCTCTACTCTCATATCTTAGCTACGCAGCCCTTTATTGTACTCCGGGATTCTAAAGTTGGCTACGATTTAATCTGTACAAAGTACTTCGTCCGTCCCTTATTACTGTTGCATCAAAAAAATAAGCGGAGAAAGTATAAGACACGACTCGGGAAATTGACGCCTGAAACTTTGATTTGGTTTATTGAAAACTCAGTCACTTTCTTCTCTGCTGCCGCCTTCACCACCGCTTATCTGGTAATTTCTCTCTCTTCTCCGATTACAACCTTAAACAACCATATTCATGGCATACATTTCTTGTTTTTTTCCACATATTTTCGCAACTTTCTCATGGTTAAATCATTTGCATTTTGAATTATTACTCTAATTTATCAGCTGAGCCTTTAGGTTATTTGATTCTAGTTTATTTTGTATTTCTGCAATTTGATCGACATGTTGTTAGATAATAATGGCTTGAAAATTTGTTGAGTTATTTAGGGTTTTAATGGGGTTTCTGAAATGGCAAAAGGGGTTTACAGGAATTCATTATAATGTTGATTATGCTTGTGATTCTAATTTTGAGTATTTATAGTGGGTGTGTTGCGCATAATTTGTTTTCTATTCTTTGATTTAGAATTATGTGGTTGGAAATGGAGGTGGTATTGGGGAATTAAAATTGGGGGATTTTTTTAGACATTTTTTATTTGGGGAACTTTGGAATATATGGTTTCGGATGTGTTCAGCTGCTCAATCTACTTTAGGACCCAACACATTAGTGTAATCCCAGGTTGATTTAGGCCAGACCATTGTTCTGTTTATTTATGTAATCCGTGACTATGGCAATGGTCGCGTCTTTGCCAATGATTTACACTTCATCATACACCCTTTGTTGAGCCATAGAAGTGATGCTATAGTGTTGAATGCTTTTTTTTTTTTTTTTTGGAGGGGGAGAGGTTTCTTTTAGAAATGCTATCCTTATAGGAAAATCAAACCTATCTTATCTGTTCTTGTGTTTCTGTATACAATGTTGGTCAATTTTTGTACGCATTTGGCCTTTTCCTGCAAATTTATTATCACGGCCTATCATGGAAACTTACCCACCCACGCAATCAAGTGAGAACTAGAGTAATGGAGGGTTTTAGCTTGGTGGTATCTGCCATGGAGTAGGTTTGGAGAGGTATCCATTTGGTTTTCCACATTTTCGTTAAGTATGAAATGTTGATTTGGACCTGTGGCCTGTGGGCTGTGGTTACGTTTCATATGCCACCTTGGCACTTGCTACTGTTGTGTCTACTTCGGACAGATTAAAGTTTTATATGCAGTCACTTGATGTATGGAAGTTCATAAGTAATTGACAATCCTTAGTGAAAATTCAATTGTATCATGTGTATATCTTGATAAATCCACTGATTGCCAACCCTTTATACACCAGTATATGCTCAAGCTTGTAGTCAAGCTAGTTTTGTTTTGTTCGTGTGCTGTTAAGGGTAGTGTGCCACTGATGAAGGAAATTGGTTGTCCAAATGGTGCTGGGGCAGCTGTGGAAACGGGAAATAGGTTGTCCAAATGGCTAGTGAATAGTGATGGGATAGATGGTGGTGGAAAAATTTCTAGGCAGATGTTGTATGTTGATCCATCTGCTGCATCTGCTTGCCCCATCACAACTGTACAGGGTTGTGCTGATTTGCTGTGCTACTTATGATTCCAGGTCTATCTGTGTGGTTGAATATAATGGGAAAATTCTTTTTCAACTCCAATGCCTGATTTGACTTGGCATCAATTTGCATCCGCTATCAAGGTTGCTTGTATTGCTTTGTGGTCCAGTATCTAGTAGGTTGGTTTTTTTTTTTTTTTTTTTTGGGGGGGGGGAGGGGGAGGGGGGGGGGGGGGTGTGTGTGTTAGCTCCTGAAATCTCTCTTCCCCTCCCCTTCTCTGCATTTGATGATAACCTTACCCAATACCCATTATGGAGGCCACTCACATTAATGGTGGTGCATAAATCTCCCTGTTCTTGAAAAAGTGTTTAACTGAAAAAATAGCTTGCTTTTAAGCTCTCTACAAACCTATTAACATCTAGTCATTAGATGTAGCAAGGCTCAGTTCTTGAAGGACTTTGAACTGATTTGTTTTGTTTTGTGGGTGCCAAATTGCCAATACCTTATTTCATTATATCTCTACTGGGTTAATAACTTAATATGGGTGATTTGCAGGGCTGGAAGCTTCTCTAAGAAGTAGATTACTCTCAAGATGTCTGGGATTTCAGGATTTGGCGCTCTTGCACCCAAAACAAAGAATATAATTGTTGCTGGGGGGCTGACATCATTTGTTTTTGGAGTGTACTTCTACACCATGCGAGCTGTTGGGGGTACTGATGAACTTCAGGTAGCCATCGACAAGTTTGAAGACAAGAAGCACCAAGATGAGGCCAAAGCAAACTAGGCATAGATCTCGATCATGCAAAGAAACTTGAGGTGCATCAATAATCTGACTGTTATGTTCCTCATCTGTAGCTGAATCGATGTTTAGACATTGTATAGTTTACATATGGTGTGACATTTGTTGGCCTTGAAAATTTTAAATGTGTTTAGCACAAGTTTCAGCTGGATTTTAAATATGATGTCACACGCACAGCTGATTGAGCTCTACCAGTATTTAGGTGAGTCGGATTGGGTGCAGCTTGAATGATGAAATATTGAGCTCATCAGCTCAAATGATTAACAAACAGAATGTTTGAAAATAATACACAGTGAGACTAAGCACCATTAAATTGTGCTGTTGCTTGTTTCTGTAGTAGATGTAAGCATTTTTCTGCTGTCTAAAGTTTTGAGTTGACCTATGGTTATGGCAGCAGGAGAGTACCTCCCACCTCCAGTTTTTGGGATTATGTGTTGGCTTCTTGCCCCTATTATCATGAAGGAGAGAAATTTATGTGACGGAAAAATGTGAAAAGGTATTTATGATCAAACGATGATATACCACATTCAGCAGCAACCTTCAAATGACCTCAATAGTTCAAATTGTGCAAAATGCCAAAATTGACCACTTCTATATGTTTGTATTTCAGATTTTCTTTCTTGTTATGCACTTTAAAGCACACCTATCTCTACTCGTATTCTCTCCATCACTCTCCTTTAGTCCTCTCAGATGACTCAAGAAAATCGAACGCTATTGCTCTCCTCTCACACCCCAAGAAAATAAGGTGAGCGATGGATGATTAAACCATATGGCATATACCCTAATTCCCATTCCTCGTTAATTCCTCAATAGTCATGCCTCAACCCTGAGGTGGCTCGGCTTAGATTTCTTATTTGTATCATCACGTAGAGTATAATACTAGGCCTGTAGCCTGTTCAACAGGACAGTTTTGAACTCTAAACAGGTCAAGGCATATACGTCTAGAAACTTTAGTAAATTTCATATTACCATTATCATCAACATGGATGATTTATCTTTTCTCTCTCTTCATCAAGAAGAGGATCTGATACGCAGATGTTTCTGATATCCAAACTTTTTCCCTCAGCTCCAATAATTTGATATAGTAATTTGAAACTTGACTCACACTTTATCTACAACAAGCCATGGATTTGACAAAATTGGATGTTTTTTCTGAATTTGGCTGAAATAAAGTGTTAACATCTAATGCTCCTTCATCTTGTAAGTACTTGTATAACAAAATCAAACAATACACATCCATTGCTAAAGGTGCCAATGTGCAACATGGCCAACTTAATGATGAAAATGTATATCATCCTCCTCAGCTAAGCTAGAAATGCAGAACTATATATTCGACACTTTGAAAGGTATTCTCGGTTTATTTCAAAGCAACTTGTTAAACCAACTCTTCATAGCAACCTCAAGTGCTGTTATACATGCCAAGGCTAGTCTTCAATCTTTCCACCAGGGATGGAAGAGTCTTGACACTATCGTCAATTGTCTGGCTAACACAGGACTCAAGGTCATTCATGGAATTCGATTGCCCAGGTTGCAGTTTTGCAGATTCATATCTGTCTTGGCACACCATTAACGCTCTTTGCAACTTTTCCTACAAACAATAACCAGAACAATGAAGTGATTATCAATTATCTGAGCAAAACATGATTGCAGGTCTAAAGCTTTATGAGCGACAGAAGACCTGATGGATGGTAAATAAAACATACATAAACATCAAAGATCTAGTTAATTAGTTGAGAGATTTGGCAGAGATGAAAAGGGTTTTACTAGTACTTGATGCTTGAAAAACATCAACGCTTTGACAAGCTTTGACCATATTTTACTTTTGGCAGCTCAAATTCCAGAAGGTGCAGGTCTTGGCTGCAGTTTTTTTAGATATCTGCATAGTGCTTACTGCTTAGGCCTCAGCAGAAAGATTAGATGTCTCTTGGTTTATTAAATGTGCAAATCAGCACCTTCTGGATTTTTGATAAGCAAAACAACATTTACGTCGCCAAAACAGACAAGAGGGACTGCTTTTTGTCATTCAAGCAAAATAAATAGATAAGTAAATAAAAGGAGGGAGGGGGGGGGGGGTGGATCTTCAGCAAATTAATTACATATGAAACCAACACAGAAGATGTCAGCCAGTAAAATAAAGCTGGTAAAGACCAACTCCTCAGTCACAGGGGTAAATTTTTTAAGAAGCTAGCCAATCTAGTTTTTGACGTCGGCCAGTGGCTATAAAAGTCAAGTACAAAATTGGCCATTTATTTACTATTCCTATGTTTATTTATTTCGATTTTTCAGTAAAATAAAGCTGGTCCTGCTAGTAATCACCCAACACTGAAACTGAAAGTTAGCAATACCGTTATGATACGGACTGCAACAATTTAAGAAACACAAAAGCGCCGATTAATTACAGAGTTCATGCTAATTGCAGCAAAGAACATTATTTTATTCACTACTTCAATAAACTCGGTAAAGTTTTTGAGTTTTTATTAAGTAACAAAATGTAAAGCATTTAGCACCCAGGGCTACCTGAAGGATGATACTTCATATATAGAGTTGGTGTCACATGAAAGATTTTCCCCTTTACCAGGTAGAAGGGTTGAGTAACTATAACAAAACAGCTATATATGCAATAAAATGTTCAAGCTTACACAAGCCTAGAGCAAAAACATAGTCAGCTTCCAGACCGAAATTATGAGAGTCACACAAGAATTTTAACTCGGTAAAGGATATGTATCGGGATGCGTTAACAAATGTGAGGACATGGTTAAGGATATGTATCGGGATGTGTCAACAAATATGAGGACATGTGGAGGGTTGACAAAAGATTTTCCTATTACAATTGGATTACATCAAGGATCTGCATTAAGCCCTTTTCTTTTTGCAGCGGTTCTAGATGAAGTAACCAGACTAATTCAAGATGAGGTTCCATGGTGTATGCTATTTGCGGATGATATCGTTTTGGTGAATGAAACTAAAGACGATATTAATGCCAAATTAGAGCAATGGAAGCAAAGGTTGGAATCTGGAGGGTTTAAGCTAAATCGGAGTAAGACTGAATATTCGGTATGCCGCTTTGTTACTGAGAGGGGGACAAGAGATGATGGGATGAGTTTGGATGGAAAGGACGTGACCATGAGTGAATATTTTAAATATCTTGGGTCGATCATCCAGAAAAATGGTGACATTGATCTAGACGTGGCCCACAGGATTAAGTCGGGGTGGCTTAAATGGAGAGTGGCCACGGGAGTGTTATGTGCCATAGCATTCCCTTACAGTTGAAGGAAAATAGTTTGCCATAAGACCAGTGTTGCTCTATGGTACTGGATGTTGGGCTTCTAAGGTGCACATTAAAAAGATGGAGGTTATGGAAATGCGCATGTTAAGGTGGATGTGCTGGAACACTCTAAAAGATAGAATCAGAAATGAGGTTATTCGCAAGAGAGTAGGCGTGGCTGGTATTGTTGACAAATTAAGGGAAACTCGTCTGCGTTGGTTTGGGCATGTAAGGCGGAAACTTGGAGGGTGCACCGGTACAAAGAGTGGAAGAGTGGGACTATAAAGGGGTTAAATGAGGGAGAGGGAGACCAAAAATGATTTGGTTGAAGGAGTTAGGAAGGATATGGATTTGCATGAGCATGAGGATGAGGCATTGGACTGTAAGGGATGGAGGAGAAAGATTTTTGTCAATGACTACAAGGAATAATCACTTTTGGTTCATCTAGCCGACCCCACTTATGTGATTAAGGCTTTGATTGATTGATTGACTAACATAAGAATTCTAACTGCCTGAACATCTTAAAAATTCCACGGAATAACACACAAAACTTATGCCCCTGAAACAACATGGAGCTCATTCCACAAAGCATATTCTACGCTACCTCGTAGAATGGTTTGTCCAACAACTTTTGTCTAATCACATATTGTAAATTTAAGCTTCATTCTTAACAAACTACTACCATCATTACTAACATTTAAATTAACACTATCATCATTACAAACGTCTAAAATAATCAAACAGGTCAACATTGCACATTCTTCGGCAGCCAAAATGCAGCCACTCTCTTAATTCAGCACAAAACATCTCAAATCAAGGAAAACAACTTTCTTCAACCAATAAATCTCTATTGCCACAATCAAATAAACAAAATTTATGCATTCCAGCTAAATCTATCGACGGCTCGCACCATCTAAACCAATAAAAAAAAATGCCAAAATTCCAGCTTTTTGCTTGAACTTTTTATATTTTTTTCAGTGTATAATGCCGATTAAAACAAAATATATACCCCAGAAATTTAAACATTACAAATTCTGAAATTTCAATTCAGTAAACATAAGTAATCAATACTCCTAAAATAACAATTACCCACAAAACAAATTAAAAAATTAAAGAGAATTAAATTACCTGAAACTTAGCCATTTCACCTTCAACAAGATTCTGAGCTTGCATAACAGGAACACTACAATGCTCAACACAATTGCTTATCTCCTCATGGGATCGACGCCTATCAAAGCAATTATACGCACACTTGAAGTACGCTTGCTGAAAATCACATAATTTCAAATAATTAATTTTACAGCTACAAATTCAATCGAAAATAAAAAACCCAGAAATTAGGGAAGAAATGAATACCTGGAGAGTGAAATTGATGTGATCTTGAACCCCAGAAAGTTGGGATTGTGCAGATGAATTAACTTCATTGAGTTTTCTTCTCAATCTTTCGGTAACAATTTGTTCTTCGGCATTAGCAATGTGGTTCATTTTTTCTCTCTCCTAATTGCTCTGTTCCTTTCTGTGCAAGAAGGGGTTTAGGGTTTATGGGAACAAATACTTGGCTATTTTATTTTAATTTTTTTGTTTTTTTTTTTTTTTTGAGTAATTGGACTTCTCTTATTTGTCCTTTATGGCTTGCTGTATTTAAAAAAACAAAACAAAACAAAAAACAAAAAACAAAAAAAAATATTTAATAGTTGTAAGTTGTAACTTCAATTTGGATAACAAATTGGGTATAGTTGGGTTTATTCGGGTTATATTGACTTTATTAATCTTGCTAAATCAAGTCATAATCTGAATCGAGTCACTTTCAGGCTATATGAGTGTTTATATAGGATTGAAATAATGTTGAATTTAAAGTGGTGATAAAATTTTATAATTATATATATGATAAATTGGTCATAATCTGAATTGAGTCACTTTCAGGTTAGATAAGTGTTTATATAGGATTGAAATATTGTTCAATTTAAAGTGGTGATATAATTTTATAATTATATATGATAAACTATGCTAATGCAGTAAGATAAAGAGAAAGGGAATTGTTTCTATTTTCAAATATTTTTCTTATTTTGTATCTAATCCAAAACGGATTTTTTTTTTGTTTTAATTGAACGTGGTTTCCATTTTTTTATTAATATATTTTTTATAAATTTTTTTATTATAATCACTTCTTGTATTTCATTATTTTCTTTATCTAATCCATTTTTAAAAAAAAAAAATATTAATTGAACGTGAATATAATATTTTAAGTTTAACTCGTCTTGTGTAATACTGAGCAAGTAACTAATCCTTATAACACTAACCGAGTAACCCTATAACACAAACCAAGTAACCCCTTTAACACTATACAAGTAACCCCTTTAACACTATCCAAGTAACCTTTGTTACACTAAAGAAGTAACCCCTATGATGGCTAACCACACCAAATATATATAAGAATTTGTGTTTTATGTTTAATAGTATTTTTTTTATTATTTTTATTAAATATATGAGGTATATTTTATAATAACCAATTTTCATATGTTATTATCTTTATTTCAAACTAATCCAAACTTAATTTTAATTTTTTAATTTTAATTGCACGTGATTTTCATAATTTTTAATTTAATAAATTATTTTTTAAAAAAATTAAAATTATATTAGTGACATAAAAATCCTATGTGGCGCTCTAAAATCTAATCTAATATATATAAATAAAGTAGGCATTTTTGGAGAGCATTTGGAGCGCCACGTAAGAAATATACTTATTTCAACCAATAAGAAAAACATTTGTATTTTATTTTTGAATTAAAAAATTATGTCGCCACCTAGATAAAAGTAACAAATTAGATTTGATATATCTAAAATTTTAATGCCACGTAGATTATAATCCACGAATTAAATTATTTAAATAAAAAAATATAAAGTAAAAATATAGGAAAAGATAAATTTATTAATTCAAAACTACGAGTATAAGAAATCCAAAAAAAATATACTAAACAATATTTAAATGATAAACGCTTATAATAAAGTTTGATACCTACATTTTAAGATAAATTTTGATTGTACTTGTGATAAGAAATACAAATTGTTAATTAATTATAATTAAATTAAAATTTGTGATACCTACCACTATAAATTGACACATCATACGACACAAACAACATTTCGTATCAATAAAAAAAAACCCCATATTCGGAGCGCCACGTAAGAAATATACTTATTTCGACCAATAAGAAGAAAGATTTTATTTTATTTTTGAATTACAAAATTATGTCGCCACCTAGATAAAAGTAACGAATTAGATTTGATATATCTAAAATTTTAGTGCCATGTAGATTATAATCCACAATATAAATTATTTTAATGAAAAAAATAAGGTAAAAATATAGGAAAAGATAAATTTATTAATTCAATACTACGAGTATAAGAAATCCAAAAAAAATATTCTAAAAAATATATAAATGATAAACGCTTATAATAAAGTTTGATACCTATCATTATAAGATAAATTTTGATAGTATTTATGATAAGAAATACAAATTGTTCATTAATTATAATTAAATTAAAATTTGTGATACCTACCATTATAAATTGACACATCATACGACACAAACAAAATTTTGTATCAATAAAAAAAACCCCATCAAGCAAATTTTGTGTTAATTTTTGGTCATCAATGGCCGGGTTATTTTTGTAGCTTAATTTTTAAAAATCCTATGTTTAAATTAGTATTTCTAATTATTACTTACATTGTATTAATTTGGGATACTCAACGATTATATGTTTATGTTTTATTTACTAAATGTTTTTTTACATGCAGATCTAACATATCATACGACACAAATAAAATTTCGTATCAATACAAAACCCCATCAAGCGAATTTTGTGTTAGTAATTTGTGTTAGATTTAGGTCATCAATGTCCGGGTAATTTTTAAAATCTTATGTTTAAATTTATGTTTGTAATTATTAGTTACATTGTATTTATTTAGGTTACTTAACGATTATTTGTTTATGTAATGGAATACGATTAGATGTTGTATACTTAATATATGGATGACTTTAGTTATTTTTGAAAAAAATTCCAACGCATAGATTTGATTTTATATCGCAACAATTTTTCATTTATTGGTAAATATTTGATTTATTTTATATAAATGTAAAGATGTAATTTATATCAATTTCAGTTGGCTAACATTTCAAGGTTCAATTTATCCATTGATGTAGTAGGTTGGTTGTGGACGAGGTTGGTGATTCTATGGAAATAAAAGAAATGGAAAAACAATGAATAATAATTTAGGATTTAAATTATTAAAAATTTATCATTTCACATCAAAGATTTTATATAACGGAAAAAATATCATATTTACAATTTATTTATATTTAATAAATTCATTATAAATTAGAGTAAAAATAAATAAATATTAAACTTTTGTAATTTTGTCTGAAATTATTAAATACAATAAATCAAATAATTAAAAATCTTAGATGAAAAAACCGTGCATCGCACGGGCTTCCATGTAGTTATATATATATTAGATTTTGTATAATTCTTGTGTCTCTTACCTCTAACAATTTTTTATTTATTTTTTTTTGACATAAATTTAACATGAATGTTAAAAGAAGGTAAATTATAAGGAAAATTTGTATTTTACCACCCACAAATAACCCACTTTTGAAATAACTACCAAAACAATAAAAGAATAAAATTTAAATTACCACCTATAAAAGATCCAAAAATTAGATTTAACCACTTTTCGTTAAAAAACACGTTACGTTCAACATTTAAAAAAAAAACTCTTCGATTTTTCGAGCCAAAAACATGCTCTTTAGATATTTTGGGGGTCAATTTTCCCCTTTGAATCCGATTTGAAGTCAAAATTTACAAAAAAATAATTGGAAATGCCTCATTTTGCGTACTAAAGGATACCTCGATTTGCGTGACACACGCAAAATCAGGCTTTTTCGTTAATTATTTGTCAATTTGGCCTCAAATCGGACCCTAATGAAAGAAATAGCCCAAAAAACCTCTAAACAGCATATTTTTGGCACAATAATCGAAGAAATTATTTTAAAACGTTAGATTTAATAGTTTTGGTGGTGAAATCATTTTCCTTTTTTTTCTTTTTTTTTTTGTCTTTTATGGGTGGTAATTAAATTTAAAAAAAATTGGGTGGTAATTTCAAAAAGTGGGTTATTTGTGGCTGGTAAAATACAAAATTTCCTTAACTTTTTTTATGAAAATACCATCATAATTTTTAGTTGTTTAAAAAAAATGGATAATTTTTTAAAAAAAATAATTTAAATCCTAATAGATCACTATTCGTGTATTCATTGTTTTTTACATACGTGGAGAAATTCTTAAAAATCATTTGTCACTTTTGATTAGGTGGCGAGTGAATTTTTTAATTTTTAAAATAAAATAAAAATCTAATTTTTAATTGGTCGAAATAATACCTTTGTTTATGTGGTGTGCTGAATATTCCGGAAAAATGCCTACTTTATTTATATACTAGATGAAGCCCGTGCAATGCACGGTTTATTTGTATTTTTCAAATAAAATATTTTACTAAATATAAATTTATCTGATAAACTTCGTGATTTTATTCGCTTGCTTACTAATTGAATTTTTATTATAAAATAAATTATTAATTTTGTTTCTCATAGTTAGATAAATCTCCTAATATAAAAAGATACTCCGTAATATTTTATTTCACAAAGTTTCATATGTAGTTGGTCACGCCGTATGGTCCTGATTACTTGGTCAGGGGTTACTCGGTTGGTCAAGGGTTACTCGATCGATTAGGGGTTACTCGGACGGTCAGGGGTTACCCGGTCAGAGTATTGGTATGTCTCAGCTGGGCACACGATATAGTCAGCCACATAGAAAACACGATGATTTTATTTTTATAATTATATAAAATTTTAGATCTAAAATACATTGCAATTCTTTTTTTCATTGGCTAAATCAACCCAAATTAATTATTTAAATATTCATGATAATTTTTTTAAAATAATAATCTTATGTGTCGCTTTGATGATTTTTATTTTTTTATTATAATCCTATGTAGCGCTTTAAGAAAACTTATCTTACTTGGCATAATTTTATTGTAGCGTTAAAAAAATATTAATCCTACATGGCGCTCTAATAATTTTCTTAAAAATTAAAATCCTACGTGGCGCTCTAAAATCTCGGGAAAAAACTCCCCTTTATATATATACTAGTATGTACACTGGGCGATGCACTAGGTTCCCTCCGCAATATATATCTTTGTGTTTCAAAAATCCTTACGATAATTGGCTACTTATAAAATAATTATAATTTTAAAACATACCATTGATACAAACATTGTTATATAAGAAGTGTATATCCCTTTTAATTTAGGGTATATTGACGTAGGATACCATTGATAAGAGCGTAATATTAATATATATATATATATATATATATATATATATATATATATATATATATATATATATATATATATATATATATATATATATATATGAGAAATATATTTATGTTTTTCGAATTTTCTACTCATAGATTAATAATCACTTGATTATCATACTTGTAAAATAAAAAATACAGTACTATCACTTTTTAAATAAGCCTCAATCTGTTTTATGTAGTTTCCTCGTATGAATATATATTTATATTAGTTGGATTAAAATAAATAAACTTATGTTTAATCATTTCTTAGGTTAATACTTCGTAACTCAATAGAAAGTACTTACTTTTTGTACGTATCCTATTATTAATATAGAGGATGATACGAAATTCTCTGTTTAATTAATTCTGCTTAATTAATCCGATCCAATGTCCTTAAAAAAAAAAATTCAATCCAATGTTGCATAATAGTATCTAAAAATTTATTGCTATAATCCTTATTGTACTTCAACCTACTAATTTTACATATGGAGTATACTAAAATATACCCTTATCACTAAACTTAAGGCCTAATTCCACTAATTTTTTATTTTTCATTTTGTTTTGAGGAAAAAATTTCATTTACTCTTTTATGTCATAATTTTATGAAAAATAGATTTATTGAAAGCTATAAAATATTAATTCGTAGTATTTTATTGAAAATAAAAATCTAAATCAACAATTTTATTCTAAAAATCTATCCAAATTTTATTGAACATAAAACTCTAATTTAACTTTTTTATCTTACAAAATCTATCTAAATTTATTCAACATTTATATCGTATGTGTCATATTAATAATTAATTGTCACCTACGTGGCTTGACACTTGGAAAAAACTGGAATGCCAAGTGCCGATATCTCGTGGTCTGGCTGCAAGACCGACTTCATTTATTAGTAATATGATATTAGATTAGTTTGGTGCCCGGACAATGCCCAGATTGTTGATAAACTTTTTGGCTTGTTAAATACGGTAATATAATCGCTTTTGATGATGTAGGATATTTAGACATACGATATCATATCGCTTATTTATATAATATAGTGTGCTTTTTGTAGTTTTGTTTGTAAATAGATATTTATGTTATTATTGACTTAAAATTATTTTTATTGAACTTAAATTATTTTTACTAAATTGAAGTATTTTTACCAAACTAAAATTATTTTTACTGATCAAAACTTATATTTACTGATTCTTTATTTTTTTTAAAAATAAAATAAATATATTATAAATGGATCTTATTTAAAAAAAAATTAAAAACGAATTTTATAATGGATATAGAACTGAGTTATACAATATTTACTAACAGTTATGATTAATTTTGTATATATGAAATATTAGAAGTATATTAATAATTGTTTCAAAAAAAAAGGGTATATTGATAATAAATCTCTATACAATATTTTTATCTTAAAAAATCTATCCAAAATTCGCTCTCCTAGCATTATATGTGTCACAATAATACCTATTTATCACCTACGTGGCACAACACTTGGCGGATAACTGGAATGTCAATGGTGTAAAATAAGTGTTTCAAAGGTTACGAATAATACAAGAATAATAATGTGTTTGATTGATCAAAGGAAGACGGTGTGACGTGACACTTGGTCACTGGACTTTGAAAACGAATTCCGGCGCAATCGGGGTGCACATTGTATTGTCGGTATGTTCCCTAAGGTTACACACCACTCCCACTCAAAGGCACTTTTGGGTGAGAGATAGAGCCATATAAATTTATGCCCAAAAGAAGAAGAAATGTGTTTAGCTCTTTTGTATGTATACAGATAGTCTTGTATTTTCTGAAAAGATTCAAAGTCATAATAGACAATGCAAGGAGTATGAAGAGTCAAATGTAACCATCAAATAAGTGATTAAATCAGAATAATGAAGATGATTTAATCACAATAAACAACTACTTGAATGAGGGGTTAAATAAGGATAACCAAAGGCCCACAAGGAATCCAAGAGAAAGAGTAGAAAGCCAAAGAGTGAATCTAGACATGAAAAAAGTCTACTCCACAATTCACCTGTGGGCAAACGTGGTAGGCCAGAACCTACTTGTGGAGTAAACTGATCATGCTCTAGAAAAGCCACAAACCAACCAAGAAATATGACTTTTACTCTCTTTACTCCAACAGACAAGTGTGCTGTTTCGTGGCCTGGCTGCGCCGCGTGAGACCCTGGCGATGCCTAATTGTTGATGAAATTATAGGATCTATTTTTGACTTGAATGTTAAATATGGTCCTATAATCCGTTTAGATAATTCAGGATATTTAAACATACACTATCATACCGATTATCTATATAATAATATACTTTTTGTAGTTTTGTTTGTAAATAGATATCTATGTTATTATTAAACTTAAATTATTTTTACTGAACTGAAAGTATTTTACCAAACTAAAATTATTTTTACTGATTAAAACTTATTTTTACTAATTCTCTGTTATTTTTAAAAATAAAATGAATATATATATTATAAATGGATCTTATTTTGAAGAATTTTTTAAAATGAATTTTACGACGGAGATAGAACTGAATTATAGAATATTTATTAAAAGTTATGATTAATTTTGTATATATGAAATATTAGAAGTATATCGATAATAAAACTCTATACGACATTTTTATCTTAAAAAATCTATCTAAAATTCGCTTACTTAACATCATATGTGTGAATGTGTCACAATAATACCTATTTGTCACCTACGTGACGTGACACTTGGCGAAAAATTGGAATGCCAAGTGTCGCTGTCTCGTGGTCTAGCTGCGAGACCTGCTTTATTTATTAGTGAAATGATATGATATAATATTAGATTTATGTAAAAAAAAAAAATGAAAAAAATTTGTTAATGATTAAGAGATCGCACCGGGGTTAAATGAAGTACAACTATTATAATAAGAAGAGGTAACTAAAATTTGGGTAGTTCATGGAAAAAATGTTATTTAATTATAAAACTTATAAAATTCGAATCAAATTCAGATTGAATTGTTGTCCCTATTCAAAAAAAAATTGTGATTTTTTTTTTTTTATATTTTACAAGTAATATGCTACAGTAGAAATCACTTACATGTATACAAAAAAATTTACAGAGTAGTAAACTTTCTTTCTCCGTATTATAAAAAAAATCTCACATTGTGTGTTTAAAATGTGCATCGCATGGGAACTAAACTAGTGTTAATTAAAGATATAAATGGTATATAATATGCATTGGAAAGCGTGAAAACTCCAACATTGTGTTAAAAGAAAAGCATGAAGTATAAGGTGTAGGTAGCATCAAATAATATGTACAAAGTATTAGGTTTATTAAATTTGAAGTTATAAGCCCTATAGACGGAACTCTTTTTTAAGTACTCGGTATTATATAAGAGAAAATGTAGGTTTATTTTCATGATAAACAACAAAAAAAAATGTTTATCTGGTGGTATTTATGTAAATAAATCAAAAACTTTTATTAAATGTGGACCCCACTAATGTTGATTTATTTACGAAAATGTCATATTGATTGGAATTTTATGTTGATTTATTTACAGATTTGTCACTAAATTAACGTTTTAAAAAGATGACCAAGATGATATTAGTCATAGAGGAAGTGGAAAATTACCAAGGATGAGAAGACTTAATTAGAAACCTCAATATTTTTTAATATGAGGGAGATTTCAATTCATCCGTCATCACCAGTATTATCTATTGTTGTCCTTTTTAGCTCATCCTACAAGGGGGATATAAGGAAAATCGCTACTAAAATGTGTTTGGCGAGATTCAACCCCTGTCCTCATGCCTGAAAGTCGGAGAACTAGCCAACTACTCTAGCCTCCTATCTCAATTGTACTTTGTAAATGTGTTGGTATCAATGCATGTATTTTATTAGTATGAAGTAAGACTATATTAAAAATTAGGATAATTTGTAAATTACCACCCAAAAATAGTATCAATTTCTAAATAACCACCCAATTAAAATTTTATTTTAAATTACCACCCATTAAATTAAAAAAACGCTCAGATTACCACCCATTTTGTTTTTCCGGTGGAATTTCCGTCAGTGGGCCCCACTTTTTTTATTTTTTTCCTTTTTTTCTGGCTTTCTCACTCTCTCTCCCCGATTTCACTCTTCTTCTTCCTACCTTCTTCCTTTCTTCTTCCCAACCACCACCCCTACCATTGCAAATTATCCTTTTTAATTATCAAAATAAGCGCATTTCCAACTTAGAGTAACATAAGATACATAATTATCATACAATTCCCCACCCAATTCATCTGCAACAAAGTTACTAAAAATGCTAATCAACCCACGAATCATTATCCAACAATTAGTCTAGCATTCCAACGAAATATAAGAAATGATGCCAATTCCTTTAATAACTCAACCAAAGCCAAATCAAAAATTAACAGCAATTGTTGGATAATGATTCGTGGGTTGATTAGCATTTTTAGTAACTTTGTTGCAGATGAATTGGGTGGGGAATTGTATGATAATTATGTATCTTATGTTACTCTAAGTTGGAAATGCGCTTATTTTGATAATTAAAAAGGATAATTTGCAATGGTAGGGGTGGTGGTTGGGAAGAAGAAAGGAAGAAGGTAGGAAGAAGAAGAGTGAAATCAGGGAGAGAGAGTGAGAAAGCCAGAAAAAAAGGAAAAAAAAAAGTGGGGCCCACTGACGGAAATTCCACCGGAAAAACAAAGTGGGTGGTAATTTGAGCGTTTTTTTAGTTTAATGGGTGGTAATTTAAAATAAAATTTTAATTGGGTGGTTATTTAGAAATTGATACTATTTTTGAGTGGTAATTTACAAATTATCCTAAAAATTATATACGAAGTTTATATCAAACCCAAAATCTCGCCTTATTTCTCATGGCATAGTAATATCTACAAAGTGATTGTGACTTGCAGTACAAGTGAACGAATGTGCAATTGATAAACAAATACGATGGAAGAGCTCATGTCATTTTCGGCATGATGATCCAAGCTCTCATTTGTACAAGATACAATCGTTCATAGAAACGTGACAATTATGCCTCTGATTGGCCTACATTTTCATCGACTGCAGTGGTAGAGTTAAGGAGTGAGTCTTGAGATTCCTCGATGTCAAAAGGTTGGGATTCGTGTTTAGCTGCAGCTTGCAACACCCGATTTTGGATATCTAATGATGATGGAGAGACTGGAAGTCCATTGCCGTTAGTTTCTAGTTTTCCAGTAGCCTGTGAGATGGCCTGTGCTCCAAGTTTCACCGGAGAAAGTAACAAACTTCACAGAAGCATCAAAATCAAATGGAACATCGTTAATAGAAAAAGTTGACCCACACTAAAACATGCGGCGTAGTGATAAGCTAAACTTTCAAGTTACATGGGATGACAAGTCTTTGCATACTTCTAAAATGTTATGAAATGCTAGAGACATCTAAAGTTGAGCACTTTTTGTGTATATTATGTAAGAAGGATAATCTTCTTCCTAGTTCCTACCCAGCTCTTAGAGGAAGTACAGTTACCCACGTTGAATTGTATTAAAGGAAAGATTTTCAAGGAAGCGAATTACATGAACCAGATAAATCTATTGAAGAAAGCAATTTCAGAGTGAAATGAACCAGAAAAGGCAGGCAACATATTCAATCAATGACATATCTAGTAATCAAGTGTGAATCTAAGTAAAACAGCAGTACTCTTAAACACTGTAAATTGCAATGTTGATATATCTAGGTAAGAATATACATACTGCAGTAGAGTGCTTTATCTCAGCTTTGATTAACACCGACATGAACGGTACTCTAATGTGCCTTAAGAGTCTCACCTTTTGAGCAAGGTAAAGGAGGATCATATGTACGCAGCCTTAACCCTACTGCCCTATGGTGTAGAGAGGCTGATTTCAATGATCTAAATCTACTATGCAAGAAGGGCCATCTGCTAGACTGCTACTGTACAACAAATATGAATGCAACTGGTTTTCACAAGTCATTTCAAGTCCTTTTGACCCTTCTAAGTCATTTCAACTGGATTTCTTGTAAGATCAAATAGGAATAATTCACATTGGTTTATGGAACCTCACATCGAGATAATTATGGAATTACAAAGCTTGAACAACACCCAAAGCTATCTATCATCTAATTTATTTTGATGCCAAAGTATTTCGAACACAAAATGTGAAAGTATTATCTCCAGAGAGGCTGCTTATAGCATCAGTCAATATCTTATCCCTTTTTCCCAAAAAAAAAAAAAAAAAAAAAAAAAAGAGAGAGAGAGAGAGAGAGAGAAAATTGAATAAATAACCACTCAAAGAATAAAGCATACCAGAAAAAGCAATCAAGTTGGAACTGATTGAACCTTTCATTAGGTAATGTAAAGTATAGAAGACATTACCTGACATCATTCTTGAAATCTTCAGAATCCTCATAAGAAGTCACTCGACGATATATGGTCTATTATGTTGGAGAAAAAAGGAGGAGAAATATAATAAGTATATAAAGTGAAGTAGAGGTAACAGCCATCAGGGCAATAAAAATTCTTTAAAACATCACTAACATCACAAGAACATCATTAACAACAGTACACACACTTAAACATTACTATAGTTAGTAATATTCTAGGGAAAACATTATTATATACACACACATATTATACTATTATAGCATAGGCGAATTAGGTTCCTGCCTCAATTAGTTCCTCAATGGCATATTGAAAAATGGAGTTAGAGCCAGCAAAAGTTCACACAACACGGACCAGACACACAAATAACAAAGTGTCAAGGGTTTTCGATCCAATTTATTAAACGAGTCAACACGACATGACAAATTTAACTAAACAGGTTGGGTTAGTGTTGAGATTCCTAACACAAAACCAACATGACTCAACCCGCCTGAGAAAAATAACTAATAATTTACAGAATTAATGATAAATCTTTAGAATGAGGCTAACTCTTTCTAATATGACACGACAATATGACACGAACCGGACATGGAAAAAGAAAGTTACTGTCAAAGGGTTTGGGTTAGTGTTGAGGTTCCCCAATCCATTTATCTTCAAACACAAACAAGGCATGGCAAGATATGACACGTTTGCAAGCTGTAGATGAAGTATAGTCTCATCATGGTCAGCATCTCAGTAGCACAAAGATTCAGATAAGATGGCTTTTAAACATTGCGCTATTCCGTTAGTTACTTTGATGCATCACTTGGAAAAAGAACGTATATATAACTGGAACTTTTTGCTTTGCACCGGGCCACTGGTCATCCAAATAAATTGATACAGTTACGATGACATGTGAGATCCATATGGGATATGCATCAGCAGACTCCTAATCCCACACACAAAGCTAGTCTTGCCACCTAGCTAGGCAGACTGGATGAGGGAGTTATTTGAGTAGTTAAATACGAAGTACTAGCTAGGCAGCTTGTTGATACTTTGTTGTATCACTTGAAGGCAAAATGATTATTATCTTCCAATAAAAATAAAAAATTTGCTGCTTGCATTGTCAAGAGTCAAAAGCACAAATAGTCATTTTTTGGCAAAATTAACCCAAATTTCACAAATTCACATTGTAATCTTCTATATAATCAAAGGATTTCAACATCAGAATTTATACGAGCTTCTAAAAATTGAACAAAGATACATGTCCCTCAATCAAATTTCTATCCCCAAGAAAAACATGCATGAGTCCTCATTCAATGTTCGTACGTGAAGATTATTTATCCAAAACAAGTTAATATTAATTCTAACATTGTACTGTTATAGATAGTGACAATTCTATCCAAAGTTACGGAACTTTACCTGACCAAGGCCAATAATACCAATGAGTTGTAGAGTTTTCTCCCACTCTGAAACCACATAATGTCCTCTTAGCAAATTACAAAGCAAATTGATAACAGTGTTAACAGTTATATATGCTAAAAGAAACAGCAGTTACACCTCAACAGAAAACAGAGAAATCAAATAAAGCTAACTTTGTTACATAAACAGCAGCAATAGAAAAAGAAACTTGTTTTTTTGTTTCATTTATAGAGATGACTTCTCATGTGCGTGGTATTACAAACTCTACTAGTCTAATATTAGGGATGAAGAAAACAAACCTAGCAATGCATAGAATGAAGCAACAGAACCCTGCATCAAAGCAAATGATATCAAATGAATTGTGCATACAAGGTACAATAAGCAAAAAAATTCCAGAATAATTTGGAAGATGTATAGCTGTATTACTTGTTTAACCAAAAACTTTAATGACAACTGAATCTTATATGGTTTTATTCAATGCAGATAACCTGAACTTACCACAATAACCCCCAATACTTGCACAGGAGTAGGATTCAACTCTTCAAGGATTGCCTCAGCTTCCTGAAAAAGGTTAGAATAGTATGGTCATAAACTCATAAATCATATGAAATGGTGTTTTTGAAGAGGGCACATACACTCATACATCTATATGCTAATAAACAACAGAAATAGTCACTCACTGAATAAACCAACACCGAACACCCACCACCCTCTCCCCCAAAATATCTAACAACATAAAATTTCAAACCATAATACCACCATTAATCATTGACTCAAATCCATGATTGAGAGACTCAGTCCAGCTCAGAGATGTGGAGCATCCTCGCAATTATAAGCACTTTTACATGATTCGGCTTAGTGATTTGGTAGAATTTGCTGAGGGACAAAGAAAGATATGATTTGACTTAGTGATTTGGTAAAATTTGCTAAGGGACAAAGAAAGATTCGCCTTGGGCTTCAATCAGCTTTGAACCAGCCTAGATAGTACCAAATTACAATGTGTGAAATTATAATCATTTGGGAATATGAATCGAATTTAGTCGTCATGGATCGCTTGGTGACAAGTAATTGCATGAGTGAATGGTACTCTTAATCACCCAAAAGTAAAGACACATGCTCATATATTTATCTAGGGTAGGGGTGTCCATTATTTGGATAAAAACCGAAATCCAATCCAATCCAAACCGAATTATTAATTCGGATCGGATCCAAACTTTAAATCGGATCGGATCTGATTGAAATTTTTTGAAAATTTGGATTTTCGGATCGGATCGGATTAACCTTGTTTGGATCCAAAAAACCGAATTAACTGAAATATGAAACCATGCTTTTACAAATAAGGATGCTTTATATTAATCATGTAAAATTATGTTGATAATTACAATAATATAAATTATGTAAAATTATGTTTTTAATATTTGTATTAATCATGTACAACTATGTATTTAAGACTAAGCTTTTTAAAATTGCATTTTTATTTTTATAATTATTTTAGTCCCTAACAATTTGCAATGTATTTTAATTCGGATTTTCAGATCGGATCGAAATAACCGAATTTCAATTCGGATTGGATTCATTAGAAATTCGGATCGAATTGGATTTAAAAATCAAAAACCAAATTTTATTTCGGATCGAATTGGATTTGGCCTAAATCAAATTTATTTTTCTGGTCTTCGGTCTGGTCCGGTCTAAAACCCTATAGAAACCGGTTTTTTGCTTAAAATTATACATAAAACCTTTAATAATGATTAAGATTATCCTTAACAAGCTTGAAAAACTTTAGCCATATGAGCTTTTTTGTACTAAACATACAAAAAAAGACGTTAAAATATTGTTTTTCCTTTATTTTTTCGAGTTTCTCATAAATTATTTAAAATTTAGATTATTTTTTTTAATAAAAATTCTACAATCGGTCCGGTCCGGGTTTTGGACCATTTTTTCGGTCCGGTCCGGGTTTGGTCCTAGCTTAATCGGTCCGGTCCGTTCTTGGACAGATGAACAGCCCTTATTCTCCAACACACATCACACTGTATAGCAATAAATACTTTTCTCTGAAATCTTCTGCATTTACCCATCCCAATTCAAAATAGTCACCTTAAAATGCCATAGAAATCCTTCATTCCCTCTTTCATCCCTCCCTACGCATTTCTCATACATAGAACAGATAGATGAAACAGCAGTACTTGACCAAGAGACCTGCCATCTATCTTAGTGTTGATTTCTTAGAAAACCAGTCAAATAAAGATATCAAATATAGTATTTTAATTTCCATACTAAGAAAGACAGTAGATGCTTGTTGGATTGTTAATATGTAGGGACTTCAAGAAGGATAAGTAATACATATACCAATATTGGCAGATGGCAAAAAAGTAGTCTAATAATACGAAAGTTCTAGTACTTCAGCAAATTCAACACAGAGACACAATTTCAGAAGCCTACAAAAATTGACAAAAGACTATCGCTTTTTAAGAAAATGGATCCACTGATTCCATCCCATAGTCGATAGTCCTACGGAAAATGTTAATAATTTAGGAACTGCACAAGACTACCTCATTGAGGATAGAAATTGCTGTCTCAGGTTTCAGCTCCTTAGCACGAAGGCCATTTTTAACCCAGGACTTGAAACCACCTTGGAGGACATATGGTCTCTGGTACATATAAAACAGATAAGACTGATGAGATCAAAATATTCACAAACAGGAGATGGTTAACAAAACAAAGAACATACAGAGACAAGCATCTCCAAAGATAATTGATATTTGGGAGAGAGATCTTATTTGTTGAGGTTTAATCACTAAAAGATCCATCACAGTAAAGACTTGTATAGCCTAGAAATACAAAGAACTTACCTTAACCCCAAGTTTCCTTAAGGATCTAGCAATGCCTTTTGCATGACTTCCGTCAGCATCCATAACTATGATCTTTGATCTGTCCTATAGATAACACAAGACTTAATTTGAGATGCAATAATAGCCATGAAGAGATGTCAGTAAGAGGTGTTATAAGAGAATCTAAGGATGTAGGGTGAGCCATCAAACTTTTTACAAAGAACAAAATATTTACCCCAAAAGATTTGCTCAAGTTGATAAATGTTTGTTTCAGTAAGATACAAATCAACAACAAAACAAGAAAAAACAATCTTTTGTATGATTTTTGCATCAAACTCCTATGTAATCATGTAAAGGGGGGAAAAAGTTTGACATTTCATCAATACGTATTGCACAAATAGAAAAAAGGATGTGCATGGCTAGGGATTGAAAAAGAAAAGGCAAAAAAAAGTTGACTGATCTAAATCATTTCATGATAACCATTCTAGATGAAGTAAAACCATCGCAGTTGCCTTTTTTTTTTTCCTCAATGTTCTTAAAAATGTCGAAAGGTATCATTAGCTGTTGCAATTTTGTACAACTTCACCAAGGCACTTGCTGGGAAGACTACAGGCTACAGCACATCCAAGTAGAGGACAACAATTAATTGTTAACCCCAAAATTTTCAGACAGCATCATTACTCTCAGGAGCATAGCAGCCAAATAATAAGTTTGTAGAGAAAACAGCTTCTCAAAATTTTCGAAAAAACAAAGAAGAAAAGAAAAGGTGTACAGAAAATAATGTCACCGACAAAGACTTGTATCGTGAAGATTTCAAAATGTTGAAACAGAGTTTAGGGCATTTTGGGCCTTTGGGGTAAAGAGGATTGGTAAAGGTTTTTTTGCTTTAAATTATCAATAAATGGCTCTGGTAAATAACAAAAAATACAAGGGTAAAAGCATACTTTAACATTCTTCAGATCCCGAATCACCACTGCCGTCAAAGTGTCATCAAGGTCTCTGCTGCTCTTCATTAATTTCCTTAGAGAACTATCAATCTGACAGTAAAGAAATTTAAATGCATTTAGAATTTATCTGCCACATAGTAAGCTATACTTACTTAACTTAGTAAGTTAAGTATAGTAAACTATACAGCCTATCTCTTGATTTTACAGCAAGAATCAATATTTTGCATGTATAAAAAGCACTAATGTATGAAATCTTCAACAAAATACTGTAAATCAAACCTTGGGCATGGATACGTCTGCATATCGAGATCGAGCGGATCTTCTAAGATCAGGGATTCCATCTCGTTGCCTCAGATCCTTCATACAAAAAGATACACCAGTAATCACATAAACCTCAATAAAAAAAAATTTAAAAAAAAAAATGGTGCTAATCACTTCTGTAGAATATGAAAAGGCTAGAAAAAAACGGTTTCTTGCCTCAGGCCTGGTATCAACAAGAACAGCACTTTCCTTCCCTGATACGAGCTCAAAAGCCAATTCAGGAGACAAATCTCCAGCATAGCCACTGTAGGTGACCAGCCAATATACAGCCCTGCACAAATCTGGTAAACAGCATAAATTTTCTGTAAAAGCATGGAATGACCCCAGGCTACACCGGGAGAAAATATCAGAGTCGGGAGTGCAACATCAATACCATAAAGTAGACGTAGTGCCAACGAAAAGAATGAATGGGACAATAGGATCTGAGGGGTCTAGGCCTAAGCTTCTCTCCAGTCCTTCAATGGCAGAATAAACCTGCTCATAAAATCCATGTTTTCAGAGTGAGAAGCATAATCGGCAATTTACTAAAGTGATAAATACGAAGTAATAAATAATGTAATTGCACATTCAAGCGAGTCAGTCTATGACAAATTTAGTACTAATGCTGTACATATGATTGCCGCAGGGTGGTAATTGGATTTAGATGAAAAGAATCACCCACACAACAAAAAGCACTAAAGTGACAGTTGGATCCAAACCTATGTTTGTATAGAAAAGGATACATATATAGCCTATCATAATAGTTAGGCATGAAGAACACACTGTATCATATTCTTATTATCATGATGAAACAATTGACCAGTAAAAATTATCAACAAAAAACTGGCTCAACTCAAGTCTCACAAACAGATCGAGAGAAACTTGAAGTGGAAGTTAAGACTTAACATCACCTGTAAGAAAACCATCCCCACTGGCCTTGATATTTGAGTAGCTTTCTCCTCGAATAATTTAAGTGCATTCTGGATCTCCGGCGGCAGAAGCTCTTTGGAAGTATCATACGAATAATAGACAAATTTACTCCCCTTAACCAAAGAATCTTCAACCACAAAAATAGTCTTTCTTAACAACTCAAGAGCTACAATGCCAGCTTTACTACTGGATTCCTTAAGGTTACTTGGAAGGCTGCTCAATTTAGATTTAGTAAGTTCACCAGCTTGATCAAAAGAAGAGAGAACTTTCGTGGTTAGATTTTCAATTACTTGATTGCCATCCTTGACAATGTCTGATATCGTCGAATTAATCTTATCCACAGAGCTATTCAAGGCATTCTCCCCCTCACCAAATGAAGCTCTTGTTGATTCATTTGTTTGAGAGAGAATATTCATAAAACTACTGCTGGAAGACGGCAATGGCTCAGCAGTGATGCCAGAGGTATCAGGCACGTTACTAGTGCTGTCAGCAACACGATCCAAAATCGAGACAGGCCCTTCACTAGAAGATTCTAGCAAGATATCAGCACTATTCACCAAGTTGTCTCCTAGTTGTTCTTGTGATACTAAGGCAGAAGAGTCCTCCACATAAGTTAAATGTTGTCCACCTCTAAAAAACGAAGCACTCATCCTTCCGGTAGTGTAGTTCCATCCATCCAATAATGTCTTATGTCCTCCATGAAAGTCATAACTGAGAGAACTTGCAGCTTCTTTCTGAAGGCATGCCCCTGGACAAACACCACCTGACAAGCTAGGAATTGTTGTGTCTACCGAAACACATTGAATACCAAACACTTTTTGCGTTCGAGTAAGGCATCGCACTCCATCATTTAACAAGATCTGCACAACCAATATGGTTGATCAATAATAAACTATTTCAAACTTTTATTTGCATTGCAATCCTAGAGAGCAAAATGCCTAATGATATTCATTGTTAAAAAAAAGATAAAACCCCAATCATCTCTTTAATTTTTAGACCATTCTTTGGAGCAATTACTCTGCACTTCTTTATGGATGTCAACTAGCTTAGTCGTTTAAAATCCCGGGAATAATAGTGATGATACACAAGACCTAATACCGAAACTCGTCTACATCATTGTGCTTTATAGCCTCTATATACAACAAAAAAAAATGCATTTCATAAGAGACATCAAAAGATTTGAACTTTTAATAATTCCTACTCCCAAGAAACATATATACAGCATAATATGATTAATTATACTAATCAACCTAAACAAACAGCTTCAAAACTAATTAGCAATTTTTGAACTAATTAATAGTGATAATAATCCAAATCAACTACAACTAAATAGTGCATTAAATATGATCATTCCAAATTCAGCTAAAAAAAATAAAATTCTGAAGCATTATATTATTGTTACCTGTGAGTTAGAAGAACAGCGGGTGGCTGAGCAAACTGGCAACATTTTCTACCCCGGAAAATAAAAATAACCCAATTCTCAAATTCCTTGGAATTCTGCAAAATTAAGCTAAAATCTTAAGACCCATAAAAATTAATACGAATTTGAAAATGTTTTCAGAAAACCCAGATAAAATTAATGGCAACAGAACAGCAGTTTGTTTCAGCTGTGAAACAAGGGAAAATGACAGAATTTTAAGCCAGAATTGTGTAGTCGAACTAATGACCAATGAAATTGTAGTGTATGAAATCGTGTGGCGTATCGAGCTGTTTAGGTTCATCTATTGAGATTCTCTCTATCGAGTTGTGGACAAAGTTCAATGCTGGTCGTTGTCTATTTGGCATTATCCTTTTTCTGTGTCCCTCTGTGTAGCGCTACTCGTATATTAAGAAAATCGCTACCACTTAAAGGGGCGTTTGATTCGCAGAATACAGATATGAGGTATGGGTTTAGAATGACCCATACCACATGTTTGGTTGTCAAAAGTATGAATTTTAAACCCATACCTCAAATCCATGAATTATGGGGTTTCGAAACCTGGGGGGAGGTGGGTTTGGCTCATTTCATTCTCTTAAGTATCAAATACATGGTATTACGGGGATGAGATTCCATTCCAGAATTGAACCAAACACATGGTATTAAGTATCAAGTTCCAGCCCAATACCACCTTAGCCTCATTCCTGATTCTAAACTCATACCACTCTGCGAACCAAACGCCCCTTAACAGACTCCGTTAATAACAAATACTACGTACTATGTAATTAATATACCAAGTTAATCTTAGTTTAATGGGAAAGATTGCATCTTTCAACCTTGAGGTTGGGGGTTGAATCTCCACTAGTAACACTTTAAAGAAGATAGGCATTTTGAAGGTGGGGATCCTCTTATCCTAAAATTGTGAGGGTTGAGGTTTATCTAGGGTTCTTCTCCTTACCTAAATAAAACAAATACAATAATTAATGTAATGGACGACTCTTCAACCAAAACAAATCGCTACCACTTATTCACTTAACCTTGATTCTTCTCTTTCATAGTTATACTTCTCCATTTGTTGTATTCTTTGTATATCCCTTATGTTTACCATGCTTTTTCCCTTTTAATTTTTCGTTTGTTTTACACTTCGTGTATGATGGGATTAAGCGAAAACTTCAAATGTAACCAATCGACACTTTAATTTGGTTTTTTGAGTATACCTTTGAGAAGGTTGGATTGTTGAAGTATTTCGTACATACCTTGTTATTTGTGCAAAAACACATTTCAAGGCATCATTTTGGAAATATAAAAAATTGTGATTCATCAAATTTAGGGTGTTGGAACGAGAAAGTACAAGTTTCTCAACATGAGAAACATAGAGTGTTTCTCAAAGGGGCAAATTCTTCATCTCCACTCAATAATTGGGCTAATGTTGTAATTTTGTCTAAAAAATCTCTCATACCTAGCAAAACCAGAAGTATTGACTGTAGAACAGAAGAACATTAATGGAGAAACTTAGAAACTTCAATGGGTAAATCGAATTTGGCGAAGGTCTTCAACGGAGAAGGACGCAACCTTTCCTTTAGGGATTAACCATACCTTTCTTTTCTCCCTTTTCTATTAGGGTATTAGTTTATTTAGCGGCGAAGCTGCCAAAAATTTGTAGTAAAAGTAGTGATTCACAAGCTACTACCATGGAAGTGGAGGAAAGCATGAAGAAGAAGGAGGAGGAAGAAGAAGATGGAGCAATAAGAAGAAGAAAAGGACAAAAAAAAAGTACAAAAAAAATTAAAAAATTCATACAATTCCTCTTTATTACAAAAATGTCATTTTGAGAAACACCCTATGTTTCTAATGTTGAGAAACTAGGGCTTCCTCATGTTGGGACTGGATTGATTGATATATAAAGTATTTGTGTTATATGGAAATTATTTTTAACAATAAGCAAGGTTTATATACATAGTGGTATGTCCGTTGTTATTTCTTTATTATGTATCCTTGTATTTACGTTTAGGGTAGGGATGTGTAATACCCCTTCTAGTAATAAAAGGGTTGGTTAACAGGTTTGGAATTCACTCTTCTCAAAATCTTGTCATCATTTTGGCTATTCTAGAAGACCCTCATTGCAGTCTCTTAGAAGATCTAGTGTGACCTCTTAGATTGTGTATGTGACCTGGTGTCGATGTTCAATGGTTGATTGGTGGTGGTTGTACATGTAGCTTAAATTTCCCTTTTTTGCTTACTGTTAGTTTTCTTTTATTATTATTAGCTTGTTTTCCATTATTTGTTGAGTAAGTCTTGTATGTGGCTAGCCACGCGGTGTGGCCACATTGATTTATAAAAATAATCCTTATTTATATATATGAGTAACCCTATTTATTCGTAAGAGTAACCTCATTTTGTCCATTAAAGTAACTCCAATTCATTATATAAGTAATATCAACTAATTTAGAAATAAGTAATTCCATCTGTTCATTTGAGTAACCCTTATTTTTTTGTTTTAAAAAATAAAAGAATGATTCCACTTATGTAAGGGGGTAACCCCTTTTTTTCATTTAAGTAACTCACATACGTCAAGATAATCTCATTTGCTCATCATCATAACCCCTATTACTTAATTAATTGTCTTATTGTGAATTGGCCCTACCATGTGGCTTTTTGTTATTTGTTTTGGGGCTTTTCCTCTCATTCTAACCAAAAAAGAAAACCTTGGGAAAAGGATTATTGACCTTGAAAAACATCAACTTAGACCCTGTTTATTTCACCTTATTTTTGCTGAACTGAATTTTTTTTTACTGAACTGAAATTATTTTTGCTGAACTAAATTTTTTTTACTGATTCTTTGTTATATTTCTTCTTTAAAGTTACTGATTTTTACTAAACTAAATATATTTTTACTAAACTGGACTTATTTTTACTAAACTGAATTTTTTTTTCCTGAACTGAATTTTTTTTTCCCGAACTGAAATTATTTTTACTAAATATTTTTTTTTAAGGTGAAGTGAATAGAGCCTTAGTGGATTTGTATACACATTTAAAGATGACATGTAATGTTTTCATATTGGACCTATGGTTATTAGTGGACATTACCTAATATTGCACTTATTAGCTAATTTTTTGATCAATAATCTTGTAATTATCCTTCCATACACAAATAAAACTAATGAAAATCAAATAGTAAATAGAACTACTGAAAATCAACTAAGGGCATGCATGCTTAAAAAATTTGATTTTAATTTATTTGAACTTGTTGGAGCTATAAATTTAGCTTATTAAAATTAATTGGAACTTGATTTAATTGAAATAAGTCAAGTTAAGTTATATAAAACACATCATGATATCAATCCACGCTAAGTTTATATGTCCAAATTGTAAGCTGATTATAACGAAGAGCATGGTATGGACCAAATGCCAAGTGACCTAATGTAATTTTTTATTAAGGGATAAATTAGATATTGCATTCGCCTCTCTTTGAGTATGCACTAGTTTAATAATTAACGTTAATTAGGAGTGCTAGCTATATTTCAATTGATAATTTATATCGTTTGTAACGAGTCTCAAGCCTCACCTTCGCTATCAAAACTATTCAATAGGTGAAGAGTAACCACTTCGTACTAGTCAAGAATAGTATAGTCTCAAGATAAAACTTATCCTTCTCGAAATGTAGAATGTTTGTACTTAAAGGCATCCTTCTTAATATATGTGTTTTAGAATGAAGGATGTCATTATCGTAGTTAAACACGAGGGAAAAACTTACTTCAACTAAACTTCTGGAAAAAAAAAAATGAAAAACTTACTCCAAGCATATGTCTACATAGGTCATATGCATTACTTCAAGCATATCACAGTAAGCCATAATTTTACTAGAGAAAAACTTATTACAGTATAAGTTTGTATACCCATCTATAAGAGCATCTACATTGGTTCAACAAAAGGACATATTGGCAAATAAAACAAAATACTAACAACTTGCTTGCTAGTGTGGAGTGACACACATCATAGCTAGAAGAGGAATGTGTTTCCCCATAGGGTTATGTAGTTCACACATTTCAAGGCTTGTGTGTAGTAGCTTGGCAATAAATTGTGTATCTCGTATTTGCTGGATTCTCCGTTGGTTGCAACATTTTTGTCAATTTTCCCTTTTTTCTACAAATGAAATACACAAGATTGTGGCTATCTAATTAAGATGTTGTAGTTTGAACTACAACACTTGTAATTTAGAAAATCTTATGTGTCACAAAGATTTATAAGGGTTGTAGCTTGTACTATAGATATTTTAATGATTTTTTATTGCATAAGAGGTAGATACCTAAATTTAAGACTAGTTTACATACTCACACATTGTAGACATATAGAAAACATATGAATCAATAGAAGCATCTTGAAAAGTTAGCGTCATAGGTTATTGCAAGCTTTGCAACAAATTATACTGTACCACTTATCTCAACGTTCTTTCGTGTATAGAATCTTGTATCTTAATTTACAATACTAGTCATGTACAATTTTGGTTTGTATATGTTACAAGTTCCATCATTATCACTTATGTACACTTATCACTTGACCTCCTTCAAACATTGTATTTTGAATTTTCGAAAAGCTTATTGTGTATTTGTTGCAGCGGTTATGAATTTGGAGGTTGCAGGTGTCGCGTACTAGAAGAGTAAACCCTCTGCTGTGGTGCGTTCATAAGATGGAAGTTTGTAAAAAAAAAAAAAAAAAAAAAATTGCAGCCTGGGTATGGTCGCCAAATGCTAGAAAATTGATTGATGTTTGGTGTATGTGTTGTATGAATTAATTTGTAAAACAATGGAGTAATTGATTATTTACATGGGATTTGAGTGGATATTATTGAAATTAAGAAATTCTCAATTAGTGAAGTTAAATTACTAATGAATGATATATGGTGCGTTCAATTCGTTTAAACGAAATTAAATCATACGAACAATCCAAATACTACAATAATTACTCAATAATATCAACTAAAATCAAATGATTGGGTCAATTATCCTCGGAATTGTATTTACTTTGCTTAATCATCAACTAAAATCAAAGGACATAAAAGATTCGAATCATGGTAAATGAAGAATGAAAGCATTACAAAATGCATAAAAGTCAATCATCACATCTGGGTGAGAAATTTAAGGGGACAAACTTTTGAATTTTACATCGCTATTGTTTAGCTTCAAGATTTCTCTCTCCTTTCCAATGTGTTTACTAAGACAACAGGAAAAAGGGTAAAGTATATCTTCTAACCTTGGGTTAATTTAATCTAACGTCATTAAACCCAATGTAACAAATGTTATTTTACCTGCCAAACCAACTTTATCATTTTGCAATTTGCTTTTTCAAAGTTTATAATATTTTATTCACATTTTAGGA